TTCATCAGAAAATACCAAATAAATCAACTGTAGTGGTTTCAGAAGATGTATTTTAGTGGGATAGATTTACTCTGATTGACTTAAAATGGTATTAGCTTCCTTTAGCATGAGCTACAATTCTCTAAAATAAAAAAAAAGCAGCGTTTAAGATTGCTGTTAGCTTCAGACTCATTACAAGCAGCCGCTGTCAGTCTGATGTGATATGAAAGATTCCCTCTCTAAAAACAGGGTTCATTCAGGCGTGCAGCATTTCTCCGTGTGCTGAGGGAAAGATCCTACATCAGTGACGCAGAGGACTCAAAGATTTCAACGCTTCCTTTACGTTTTGAGGCCATGGAGACGCGCCCTTTTTAATATACATGACCACAACATTTTCTTTCTTCCCTCATTGAATGATGTGTGTGTTTTTGTTTTTTCTCTCCGTGCCTTCTCATTGTGCAACATTTGAATCAAAATGTGATGACAGGTGTGAGTTTGAAGTTTTTTTGCTTATGTTGTCAGCCCCGTCAGTCAGACTCGATCAAACAAGCAGCCGCAGAGACCTGACGAAGCAGGTTAGCTGAAAGCTGACTGTTAAAACACGTTTTTTATCCACCACCATCAAACTTTAATTTTGGCTGCACATCTACTCACTTGTGTTTTTACTGCTTACAGGGACTTTAAAATGTTAAGATTAAAGGTCTGAATTGCAAGATATCTACTGAATTAAATCACACAATGACCTTACTACATCATCAGACGTTAAGGAAACTATGTCGAAGTGCCGGCTTCTCTGTCAATGCAGCAACGGAGTATGTCCTCCTTCTAAGTTTAGATTCAGGTCCTGATGGTTAGTTTTTGTTTTTAACCAGAGAAGGGAGACGGTTTTAAGGACGGCCTCACGGCTGATTTGCCCCTTGACCTTGGTTTGACAGGCAAACGACAAACCAACAGGTGCTGCAGCGATGAATGGAACTGGTTCAGATAGAACTTATTCTTAATCATTTTAAATGCAGACGCTCTAATAAGCTCCATAAGCAGAAACTTGGTAAAACTAGAATAAATATTGAAGATGGTTTTGGAAAATGGTGCAGAGCTGGCTAAACACTGAAGCTCTCTCCAATGTTTTGAGTTTGGACTGCAGTTCCCATTTTTAAACACTAGGTGTCAGAGATACATATTGGCCCTTTAAAGAACTTAAGGCAAAATCGTCAAAGCTTTAACAAATTTTCAAACCTTTTATGTCAACGTTTAGTCAAATACTCGTGTTCAAACTGCTGGGATGTTGTCGTCTGTTTCCGCACACCTTCACAACCTTTTTTCTCTTTTGCCAATTGTCCCTTCTGCTCTTTTCCCTCCAGACTTATGTCACCCAGATGTCCAAACATACTCCCATGTTCGTGTTAATGTTTCTAGGAATGGGAATCGCTTTCAGATATCCACTTGCTGAAACATCTGCCCACCTATCACATGGGACATAATCAGTGTGCCTCTAAAAGCACTAAAAACACGACATCTGAAGTGCTTAAGAGCAGCATTTGTTTCCACAAACTCCTGACTGCACACTGTTTTATTCTGTATATTTGAACTGTCCAAAGTCCAGATGTTTCAGTGGATTGTGTTTGTAATTTGAACATCAGCTGTTCTGTAACAGTCTTAAAATAAATTGGGGATATTTTAGGACAAGACAGAGTCAGGGAGACAAAGCGTCCTTTCTCTACCAGAGTCCAGCTCCACATTCCTCAGGGCACGACCTGACCGCAGCTACATCTGAATCTGTGTCTGTCTGAGTGTCAGGCGGGAATTTGTTGCCCTTTTTTTTTTTTAGGTTCAGGAAATCTCTGCAAGGACACAGCGGTCACTCACAGAGGCGCACTGTGGGAACTCACAGGAGATTGGGACATTTTATAGTGCCTGTGTAAAATTATTTTTCCATCTTCCTACAGTCACACAAAATGTCAGACATTCACTTTGATTGCGCCAAAACAAACGTCACTGCTTGTTTGATTATACTCCTCCAGCAGCTAGACACAGGAGGTGGAAGCAGAGTGATTATTCCAACAGCAGGATATTTTCTCTCTCTTAATGTCAGCTCACCTTCAACCAGCTGAACACACCTGACTCTGTCACTTCTTATGATGTTATTTCTTTCCATGATTCATGACGATTTAAAAATATTTAAGACAAATGTATAAACAGCTACTTAAACTTCTGTGACTTTGGTTTTTAAAGTTTTCTTTAGTCGATTAAAAAAATCTTCTGAAAGAATTATTGCTTCTTTTTTTCTCAGACAGCTCCCAGCTTTAAATCTGAAAGAGGAGAAACTATCAGAGCCATTTCACAACACGATAAAAGCAACATGTCTGTCTGAGACGTTAACTTGTGTCTTTGGTGCGTCGCTTAATTATTCACTTGAATCGTCTTCCATCTCTCTCGGTTGACGGCTCATTATCTCGGCATGTCTTTTCTCTAAAAACAACTTTCAGCAGCCCACCCGCCGCATACCGCCCATCTGCTCGTCCCTCCATCCATCTACAGGTCTGATCTGGGTTTTTGACAAAGTCCACTTTCAGTTCAGGAGGAGGAATATTAAAACAGACAGTTTTCAGTCTCATAGAGACTTTCAGGCTTCAGTGGCACAAAAAGTAGAGTTTTGTTTCTGATAGCGTCGATGTATTGAAGGTGAATTTTTTTTTTTTAAGTGAAGAGTGCAAACAAATCATTTGGTCGTCTGTGAATAATAAGTCTTGAAATGTTTGGAGAGTAAAAAAGTCAAAATGTTTAAAATAATGAGAAGGGATGCACCACAGTTCACATTGAGTGTTGGGCTGAAATATATTTACAATTAAGAATCAGCCCAACATGAACATTTCTGCATATATGACATGCAAAAAAAAGATGATGCTAGCTGGTTGTCTATCATTCATGTTGCATAGAAATTATAGATTTTTTTTAATTTAACAATTTAAAAATAGTTTTCTTATTTCCCAGTATGAGGAATGTAGTATGTACACTGTGGAAATCGTTGTAACTTCTCTCTGCATCTCACCCGCGGTCAATACAGTAAAAGATGCCAAACTATTTCTTAATTTCACTCAAGCAGAGACTTGATGGTCTTTGCATCTAGGGTGCAAAAAAAGGGTAATTGGCTTTGGGCTAAAACTAACTGCAAAACAACCGCAATATTGTTGATGCAAAAAATAATAATAATCAGAAAAACATGCATAAATGTAAAGAGGAGCTGATTAACTTCTTATTTAGTGGATTTTATGTCCTCCGGACACCAAAAGAAGTTTGTCTGATTCTTTCTATCACACACTGTGCAAAACTTCAAAAGGGTCTTTCTGTGGAAGAAGTTCAGAATGTGCTTCCAGTAACAGAAAAGGAAGAAGAACATCAATTCAAATGGCCAAACAGTTGTTTAGATTTCTGCAATTCCAAAAAAAAATAATCTTAGAAACCGGGAGCTTCAAAAGGTCACTCTCAGGGTCACAGTCGGTGCCACAAGCGAGTGTAGGAGGGGACAAGCTATGTTAGCCTTGCTACAAAAAGCCCTGGACCAAAAGAAGAAAGGTCAGATGTTTTTTTAAACTGATAAGACTGAGGGTCAAAAGGTCTCTGGTTACTGATGAGACTCGGCAGAAACCGCTGCTCAACAATTTGTACCAACTGAATGAAAAGTGAACTCTGCCAAAAAAAAACCTGTATCCTTGACACCTCCACATTCTTTCAGCTTCTGTCTCCATCTTTTATATCCTCTGACTCCTCCTTCACTTACTTCTCAAAACCTTTCTTAGCTCTAACTTGAATTATACTGAAAGTTATAGCTGCTATGAGACTTGTATTAACTGGTTAATGATTGCATTGTAGCAGCTTATGTGTAAAATGGACTTACAGTATGACTTCAATAACAAATGTCCCTTTAAATGGTTCTTAAAATGTCAAAACCAGATTAATAATATGATGCCAGCATATAATAATTATCAGACCATAATATACATACGGGCAAGCAATTGTAGAACAATCACAATTTATCAAATATTTTACGTAGCTGAGTTGTAAAGGTCACATATTATGTAACATACTCTTTACCATTTGTTTCTAACATTAATATGTGTCTCTAGCATGTCTAAGAAAATATGTGCTAAAAACAGGCCGTTTGGAGATTTTCCCATTTGTGACATCACAAAGGGCAGTAACCCCTCCCCAGGTGGGTGACACTCCCACAGTTAGGTGTTTGTTCTGCCCTCTCACCATAAACAATAGGACATGGAGCGTGAAAGCCCAAGCCACCCAAGCCCTTCCAGAGAGGGGCATGGTCAGACACAGCTCATTTACATTTAAAGGTACAGACACAGAAACAGCCTGTTCTGAGCAGGGCTGAAATAGAGGGGTTTATAGACATGATCAAATACAGGATCAGAGTGGATTTAGAACAAGAAACTTCACAGACATGTTTTGGGGAGCTCTGAAAATGATTTAAAATTGTTGAAAAGGAGAATATGTGACCTTTTAATGTTCAGCTCTGGCCTGTTTTATACAAACTAACAGGGTTTCACATTTTGAGACTATTTAAAGGGACATTTTATGACATTCATGATCACGTGATCTGATTATATTGCATTCCCACGGCAAAATGGACTGTTATAAAGCTGTTTAAAAAGTTAAAACATTGTTAGCATACAATGATAGTCCTTTTTTCTTTGCACCATATTCAACCTCAGACCTTTTTCTTCTCTTGCTACTTGCGTCTGTTCGTCTTTTTGGAAGGGAGCTAGCAGTGTCTGAACTTAAAGCAGCCATAACTTTTACTATCCACACGTATAAAATATTTTAAAAAGAGACACAGATCAGGTCCCCGCCCTCGTTCCTGGAAGCCCTTGTTCCCTTTTCCTAGAAAAAACCCTGGAGCAGGATGCGATTAAGAAAAAAAGTGGTGGTAAATACTTGATCAGCAGTCTTGTGAGTTGAAAATTAAAATGTTTAACCACTAAACTTAAATCTGACCCCGGCTCTGCGTGTCACTCAAAGGACAGCAGGTCAGGGTGATGCTCTGAGTCTTCAGCGCTCACTCCTGTTACTTTACTGCAGGGGGCGCCATTCCCCAGTAGGACCTCTTCTCCCAGGCTGATGCGGCAGGGAGTTTTCCCCGAGCGGGGGGTGGAGGCCAGGCGGGAGTCTGGTCCCGGAGCCTTCTGCCAGACGTCGCAGGGTTTGGCTCGGGTCTCCAGCTGGGGTGGATCTTTATTGATGAGGTCTGGAACAGAGAGCTGGAGCTGCGTCTGATGCTCCTCCGCGCCTTCTTTTGTGCTTTCCACATCCTCCTCTCCTCCATCTACCACTCCATCAGCTGGACTTTCAGCGGCGACTTTCTCCTCCGCTTTCACGATCTCCTCTGACCCCTCTCCTTCCGCCTCGCCCCACTGCTGCTGCTGCTGCTCCTCTTCGGCGATGAGCGGCGTCTTCTCTGGAGAGGAGAGGAAGGAGGAAGTGTCAGCGGCGTCTGGAGAGGAGACCACGGGATCAGAGGAGATCATCATGTCCTGGGTGGTCTTCAGAGCCCGAGGCAGACGCTTCTTCCCTGACGGGGGCGGAGGGTCCAGCCGAGGGAAGGAGTCGAAGGAGGAGATGTGACTGGAAGAGAGAGTCAAAAAACAGAAAGGCTAAGATAAGACATACTAAGTCACAAAGAAAACAAAGCAATAATTAGTAA